ATATAGATTATGAAATTTTGCATTTTTAATCTTTTTTATTTCTTACTTATACGTTAGTAGAACATTATCCTTACTTTCCTTGTGGTACTATAAACGCAGCATATGATTTTGCTCCTTTAGCACGAGGTTGGTCAAGTACATAAACTGTATATCGAGGATGTTTATCACCCACTCTATGTAAATCTAAACAAATTTCTCCTATATCAGATATACTTCTTTTATCAAGGCAATTACATATTAAGGCTGATTGTTGAACCGATAATACTGCAGATATTACAGTATCTGTGGAGGATACTCTTTCAGGTTTTCCATTAGTTAATGCGATTTCAAGAATCTGTTAAGATAAAAGTAACCATTGACAAAATAAAGAGTTAAATTGGTTTAGCTAAATTAATATAAGAAGTATAAATAATCTTTGTCATACCCACCGACTCTGTTAATTTTATAAATTTGGTTGCTACAACAACAAATACTGGGATAGAACTTCCTTCCTCTTGTTTAGCTTTTTCTTCGGTTTTATGACATCGTGTCACACGTATCATGAAATTATTAGCAGTGAAATATGACAAAATTTTCCTTAGAATATGTTCTTGAAGCAAACTAATACAAATGTATCTTCCACCATTACGTAAGACACGTATGATTTCCTAGAAGATATTTTTTCATTTATAAATATTTACATAAATGAATTTATTTCATATCATTCATACATATCATTTTTTCTCACGTATATTACCTTAAAATACTTATCAATTATAGATATTGTATCTTGCTTTACATTTGGCATTAAAGCATCTAAAGTACCTTTATCCAATATAACGCTAAATTTTTCATTTGGATATGTCATTTGCGTAGCATCCATTTGTTCATATATTAAATCTGGCTTATCATTCTTATTAATGTTTTGCATTTGTTTAATAACAACCTCTGACACATCTATATTAATAATATTTCTGTAAAAAAAGAGTAAATAATTGTAACTATCTGTAATGCTAAGAAAAATTTAAATACCAACCGATATCCGACATCGTAAAGCGACATACTGAGAGTGGAATTACCACATCCAACGACTAATACATCATCTTTTATTTTGATATATTTAATCAAAATATCACATAATTCAGAATATTCTCCATACCTAAAATATAAATATATGAAAGAAATGATACATAATAAAAAATATAACAAATTTGATTGACAAGAACTAACCACTCGAAGCTTTTCTTGCCACGTTTTTTGAAAAATGTATTCCAATATTCTGGTTGACTAAATTCCTCATGAGTTTTAGGTAAAAGATTCATGATCTTCTAAATAATATTCGCACATTCGCATTTAATCTAAAATTTATCGGCGTTTAATTTCACGTTACTTCATTACTTTGATATCAAATATTAAAGAATACGAAATGGCGAAAAATGAGATATAAATTTCTGTAAATATTTCTGTAAATATTTCTGAAAAAATATGAATTTTCTCGCTTTTCCGAGTTTTTTAAACACTTGTAAATAATAAAAAAACAATCATAAAGCTCAGGAAATACGATCACAGAGTTCGCTCAATATGATTCGAGATTTATGTGACTTCAGCGACGAGTGCGGAAAAAAAGTGAATTAAAAACCTTCGTAAAAACCTTCTTTCGATTCATCATATCGGTATGTATGATTGTATAGGTAAGTACATTATGCAGTTCACGTGTCGTCAAACATAAATTAAAAAATTGAGCAAACAATGAGATATCAAACGATATATAATCATCAATTTTTACAAAAGAGCTTGTACAAGGCAAATATGTATTCCGAGAAGCATAACGAACATTTTAAAGATAGACATTGATACTTTACTCATACTCGAATAACCTTACATGTGTTACTTTTTTCGCAAATATATATATATATATATATTTATATATAATATTATATTTATATATATATTTATATATGTATATATTTACGTCCGATAATATTAATAGTATTATTAATATTATTAATAGTATTAATAATTAATTGATAATTAATATTATAAAAGAAACTTATAAAAATATTTACATTCTATTATTTTAATATTAATAATATTGTTAATATAATTAATTATTAATCTTGTATAATATTATTAACAATTAATATTTGTAATAGTTGAATATTGTAAAAGAAATTAATACATGATTATGTATTTACGTCGTTGCAAAAAATATTGCTATTGTTCGTTTTTTTTTCGTCATTTTACTGACGAATCAAAAAGATAGCAATAAATTTATGGTATCGTGCATTATATCATTGGTTATCGATGATACTTGTATAGCTATGAGGAGATAACATATACACAGTAAAGTGACAAATGGAGATCATTTCTCTTATTGTATTTATTATACATTGTAATCACGATTCCATATAGATACACATACGTATATATGGGATATAAATTTATATGAATGGGAAAAGGAAAGGATAAATTCTTGAAGAAAAAATTATTGCCAAGATCTGATGAAAGTTTATGTAATTAATTGTAAAATAACAATGAGGTCTAGTTGATGGAACTATAGAAACCCTTGGATTTTTTTCTAAATTTTTCAAAAATTCAAAAAGGAAAATGAGGTCGTAGCTAAAAGCTAATTACAATCATATCTTTGTCATACATCAGGATATAGTTTCTCTCATAAACATCATTTTGCAAATTCGATCGTTATAATAATAAATTTCTATGCATGTGTACATGTAAATTATGGAATAATATATTTCGGTATAACAACAGTACGAACATTAAATGAAACATTAACATTAAATTGACATAAACATTAAGTTATTTTGGACGATAATTATTACTAATAGATAAAGTTATTTATTATAAAAATAATTGTTTAACGAACTATAGTCTATTCGTTTCTTCAAAGTAATTCGATTAATTAAATTTACCTATTTTTAGACGTCATTTTTGCAAAGAGAATAACATTTTTTAATAATTAGAGATAATCGTCACATGTAGAAAACCTTAATCTCTCGAATGAGTCCTTGATTATCAAAATCGGATAAGAATAGTGATCATAAGAATTCATGACATAAATCCTTGCAAACCTATGGGAAGAAAATTCCCTTAAAAGGCTTTATATGCGAATCGACGTAAAACGTAATATATAAGCTGTAAAAAAATTCACCAATCAGGTTCGACTATTTCCTCTTTTACGGATGAAATTCTCACAGCTAAAAGTTTTACGTTCAACCAATCACATTCCAACTATATTTAATTTCGATATTTAAAATTTTATGAATGCAATGCGGTAAAAGTATAGAAATTTTGAGGTTATGTATCTGTACATTGCGATTGAAATTATCAGAAGCATTGTGTTTTATGTTTTTATAAAATAAAAATTCAATAAAAAAATGGAAAGATGCAACAAACAACACTTGACACATAAGAATTGTATTTTCGCGCAATTTCTTTAACGATGAGTGTGATTGGTCGAAATTTATGTCTTATGTTAGTCATATGTCATAACGCTTACATACTACTGCTTACGTATTACGTCTTACATCGGCGCATGTGAATAAATGTTTTAAAGAATAAAACTCAACTTGATATTGAAAAACTACACAGAACAAAAATGTTGACAAATCCGCGTTCGCGTAAAATTTTCAAGTCGATATAAAAAAAAAAAGAAAGAAAAAAAAATAAATATAAGTATAAATCCTTTGACAAATTATTTTTGTAAATATAAAGTTTACGTTTGTTTTCTTTGTATTTTCTTTTTCTTTTTATTTTTATGAAAAAGATTTCCAAATAGAAGAAACATAACCTTTCTTCGAAATGACTTCTATTTCGCGCTGGACGATTTACCAATGATCGTTCATGTCACTAAGGCGACATCTATGAACACAGTTTCGTAACAACGTCCTAAATGTACTGTTGCGTCAGCCATTGAAATACTTTGGAACACAAGCTCGCACGTATCACTGGTGGTTTATTCATCGATCGAAGCATCTATTCGCGGTCAGCGAACGGTTGATTCTTGTCCTTTCCTGTTACTGAAGAAGTACGAGCATATCTAACAAAGTAAGTAAAATAAATAATTTTCTTCAATTATTAAAGTGTATTTCATTCGATCGATTGACTGACGTTTTACGCGTCATCATATTCCCTTTATCGAAATAATTTCTAATAGAATTCTTTTTGCGATACTAATATCAATGAAACAAATAAAAATTTATAATTTTTGCCATCGACAAACATGATATATTACCACGTGTAGTTTGATCGTAAATATAAGAAATATATAACTGACGCCATTCTTCAAATTCCTGCTATTTCGATTTCATCGAATGTACAAAGTGTTACGTATCTTCTTTGTCAAACATATATATATATATATACACATATGCATATATATGTAAGTATATATATATACTTACTATATATATATATATATATATATGTGTACCTAAAGACGAGTGAAGTTATATAACTCGGCCCTGAACCAGTACCCTACTGTACTTCATTTTTGCATTTAGATTCGTTTACTTTTGGTAACCTTCGATACACTTTTGTTTCACCTTTTCTATTCTATCATTTGTACAAGGCATTTCATACATATTACTTCAGATATTTTTATCATCATTTTATTTATAAACTGATGTAAAAGAGAGATATAGAGTACTATGCTCTAAAGTATATATCGTTAGGAAATATAATCTATTTTATACATTTGGATTTTTTTATTACGAAACGACGATGTTACGTGAAAAGTTTTCCACGAGGTTATATATCGTTGATAAAATTATGGGAGAAAAAATCGATAATAAATTTTATTCCACTTACTATCAAACACATATATGAGCTGCTCATTTAATCGATTAACTACACATTTGTAAAACAAAAAGTGGAGAAATGTAATGAAATAATATAAATTGCTTATTAAAATTCCCTTTTAAATATAAATTCAAATAAACATTATAAAATATATAAAGGCTTTGGTTATATATATATATAAGTAATAATTATGATCGATTGAGAGATTAAAAAGTTATTAGAAATGTTAAGAGCAGGTAATATTTTCCTACTCCTCTTATCTATCAAGGATTGATAATCTGTACTGGTTATTTATCCGGTAAGCGGGTTTTATTACAATCGAATTTTGATTTTTATTATTTCTTTTTCTTTTTTCCTTTCTTTGTGATCATTGAAACTACTCTAATTAAACCATCTGTGATTGAACGCTTCCGTATTGTGTCGATACCGCGAAAAGGACGTACAAGCGCAGGCGCATCGATTTATTAAATATCTCGACATTTTTTAATCGCCTTTTTTTTATTTTTTTTTTTTTTTTTGTTTTTTTATCGAAATGCAAATATTAGATAATCCTGAGAAATATAGACGAAACGTGTGAAATAAGTTATGTACATATTCATGTACATGAGTGTACGTCCATTTATGTCAGGTTATATCGTAATTCACATGATTAATTGTCGTTCTTTTATTTTTCAATGAATCAAACTGAATGAAAGAAGGAAGAAAAAAAAAATACAAACAAACAAATAAGATGATTTATCGAATAATACTACAATGATAGTAGTGATCGCCATGTTTTTTCCCCTCTCTCGTTTAACAGAGCGCCAAGTTTGGCTCGCGTTCATTTTCATATGATCATGTGATTTTATTTCACAATAAGAATAGAACATTTGAGAAAGAACGAATTGTTATTATATTTTTTCTTCTTTTTTTTCTTTTATTTACGTCCTTTCGCGTTTTATAAATGACTAATGATTATTACAAAATGATTCGATGCTTCGAATAATCGTGCTCGTGACAAAAATCGTTCAGAGCAAACGCCTTTTGATGACGCAAGCGTTAATGATCTCCTCGACTATTTTTCTACGTAACCACTACGACGTCATAATCACGAATACGTAATACATATACATATGTATGTAGTAGTTACGATTATAAGTAGGCTATAAATTTACATAGACTATAAGACGTAATACACTGTTAAGAATTATTACCATGATATAAATCATTTAGAAATATTTCTTTTTTAATTGGAATTATTTTAATTTTATTATTATTTATTATTGTTATTTTTTTATCGTTTTAGTCAAAGCAAGAACTATGGGTGTACCAGCAGGTGATCCAGAAAAGGGAAAGAAGGTGAGTTATACATATATATATATATATATATATATATATATATATATATATATAAATGATCATCATTTATTTGTAGTATTGTTATTATTAATTTTATTATAATTAATATTATATATATTTATTTATTATATATAATTAGTATTATTTATTCATAAAGAATGGTTGATTATATTGATTGATATTTTTAGATCTTCATACAAAAATGTTCACAATGTCACACGATAGAAGCTGGCGGCAAACATAAAGTAGGTCCTAATTTACACGGTCTGATCGGTAGGAAAACTGGCCAGGCGCCCGGTTTTGCGTACACGGATGCTAACAAGGCTAAAGGTATATTCATTTAACATTTTCAATTTTATTCCGTTTATATATTTAACCTTTATTTCTAATCATATTTATTTTTTCAGGTATCACTTGGAACAAGGATACGTTGTTCGAATATTTGGAAAATCC